CACCAACCATTTTATAGTCAGAGGTAAACAAGGTAGTGGTTACCATAGTTACACTGTTCTTGTGAGTTTCACTTGTTTTGACCATAGTTACACTTCCTGCACTTCCCTCAGCCCATTAGCTTCCCAGACAAGATCTAGGGAGCTTTATAATGTGAAGCCTAATTATGCTAAGAGGACTGTGCCCTCTAAGCTGGGACTTGTTTGTGACTTTGCCAACAGGTCAGTCTGAGGCTTAACCCTATATGGGCTCCCCACAGAAGACAGTCTGGCCAGTTTTTCACAAAACTAAACATACCCTTATATGATTAAAAAGTTGTGCTCCTCGATCTTATGTCCACACAAAAACCTGCACATGGATGTTTACAGGAGTGTTATTCATAATTGCAAAAACTTGGAAGCAACCAAGATGTCCTTCAGTAAGTGAATGGATAAATAAATGCTCTAGCCTATGAAGAGCATTCAGCATTAGAAAGAAATGAGCTATCAAGTCATGTAAAGGCTCATTGTTGCTGTTACCCTGTCTGGATTTGAAACATGTGCTGATATATATATTTTACATGCACACGTTGAAAATGGCTCACAGCAGACATCCGTGTAATTATAGTTTCAAAATGAAGACATTTTGGGAAGAATATTGTATCATAGTTCATTCATTTGCAATAGCTCTTTGTTCCTTTTTCCTGTGGTAATTTTAGAAATGAGTGTCAAATTTGAAATTAGCTCTGCTAAGTTGGGGTTTTGCTCTTAAACTCTGCACTGGGTCCTCAAATAAACTGATGTGAATGTAGTTCCTCCTCTCCTTCCCATGTGTGAAGAAGCAGCCACACCTCAACAGAATAGGAGGAAAAATCTAGAGCTATTTCAAGTTTTATCTTTTTGTATATGAAAATGAAATCAAATAATAATAATGGAAAAAGTCATGAAAAGGCATGGAAGAAACTTAAATGCTAAATATTAAGTGAAAGAAGACCATCTGAAAGGCTGCTTACTATATGATTCCTGCTATATGACATTTTGGAAAAGGCAAAACTATAGGGACAGTAAAAAGATTAGTGGTTGCCAGGGGTTAAGAGGGGTGGGGGGAAGAAAAGTCAGACACAGGGCTTTTAGATCCCATTTTTAGTGCAGTAAAACTACTCTTCATGGGATTATACATTTTTGTCCAAACCCACAAAAGTACAATACCAAGAGTGAATTTTAATATAAACTCTAACTTTCAGTGATTATAATGTGTCAATGTGGGTTCATTAATCATAACTCTGGTGAGGGATGTTGGTAATGGGGGAGGCTATGCATGTGTGGTGGCAAGTAGTTTATGGGAAATCTCTGTATCTATGGTCAATTTTGCTGTGAACCTAAAACTGCTATAAAAAAACAAAGTCCAATACGTAATACTTTCTACAAAGAAGGTTAAAAAAAAAAAGTCCACAAACTTGCAACTAGACGTTGAATAAGTTCTGGTGATCTAATGCACTGCGTAGTGATTATAGTCAACAACACTGTATTATATACTCCGAAGTTGCTAAGAGATTAGATCTTGAATATTCTTACCACACAAAAAAGAGTAAATCTGTGACATGATAGAGGTGTTAGCTATGGCTGTGGTGATAATCTTACTGCAATACATAAATGTATCAAATAAATCCATTGTATACATACACCTTAAACTTACACAATATTATATACCAATTATATCTGTTTTAAAAATAGCATTATAGAAAAATTCTTAAAATTCTGTAATTTTGTGTTTGAGATGATTAAGAAGAGAATTTTTAAAAACATGTTTTTCACATTCTTGAAAACACAAAAGTTTGTATTCTTATCCCACACTCTTATATCCTACGACAGCTACCCTCTGCCCTTAGCGGCTCTAAAGATGAAAGGCCATGGGGGTTCCTCGCCCTAGAGCCCAAGAGAGAGAGAGAACCCCCGGGGCCGCAAGAGGACGGACGGACAGACCAGCACCCCGGCGCTGAGGACCGAGCAAACCCCTCGGAGCAGGAGCCCAGCTGAGGAGGCGGGACCACACGCGACGGGCGCGCGGTCCGATTGGCCGAGCGCCACTGAACCTGCTCGGTCCTTTGATTGGTGTGAGCGGCGACGCGCCCTCTCGAATGCCTCGCTCGGATTGGCCTGCTTCTCGGCCCAGACCTGGACGGTGGCCAGAGGAGGACAAGAGACTTCTGTGCGGGATGGAGGGACGACTCGGGAGGACGTCTGAGCTGCAGGTCTACAAGCGGCTGGGACCCAGGGGCGTGGCGGCCACCTCTGTGATGTCTGTGCTGCAGGTGGCGCCTGAGCGGACCGGCGGCAGCGTGGCCCGAGCCCGAGGTAACGGGTGTGTGTGTGTTGGGGGGG